CATAGTTAGAATGCCATTTGACATTTAAATAGTTAATTTCCGATTCAGATAACCAACATACTAGTATTAGAAAATCCTAAAATTTTCAAGTGGAGTGTGGAAAATGTCGCATTTCAACTTTGTTGATCCATCGCCTTGTTCAGAAGCAATTGAAACGGCTTTAGCCCCAAATATTATAGCTCATCAGGCTATGATATTTGTCACTTGTAAAACCTAAGAGATGAAAAATAAGGATCACTTCCTGACATTTTTCAACCTCTTAAAAATCCTAACATGTCTATTTTGTTTATTTTATCGAACATTCTGGTTCTAGGTCAGTTCTCAAGTCCTTATTTTAGTATTTTGGATAACTAAATATTTCGTTGCATAGAGAGATAAAGATAATAACATTTTACACTGACAATTGTAAAACTCTGAAGGGGAAACAAAACCTGCAAAATTTCTATATACCACATTTAATACCCACATGTGTTTATGTGTGTATGTATGTATATAGAGATATATATGCGTGTCTAAAATCCAAAGAAATTTAGTTACTAATAAGTCTGTTGAATGCTGTCAGACTTCAAATATGTTTTAAGTGCTGTTATTCTTCACTCTTCTGGTGTGGTATGTTTGGATGTGAAAATCACTTTACATGACTTCTGTTCTTCAGTAGCTGTATGTCAGATTCTTAAAAAATGGGATTACATCTGAATCTATGCTTCAGTCTGCAGGAATTAGAAACAAAATTTTAAGTTATGACCAGAAAAATTAAAGTAACGGGGGGGGTTAATATTTTCTTTATCCAACCATTATCAAATTTCATATTAGGGTTTGACCCTTTGACACAAACTCACTCGCTTAAATACTCTGGGTTTTCTTCTTTATGTGATTTCAGGAGTCTCATGTTGAGACTGGCTAAAATTACAGCATACTTAATATTATGGAATAGCTGGGGAGCAGAAGCCATACATCAAGTTGCCATTTGTTTTTCCTTCTTGATTGTGTGTATGTGTGTGAGTATGTAACTGTTTTCAGACTTTAAGTAAGCATTTCAGACAATGTTTAGGATGTATCTCAGTTGCTATGAATAAGGTTGCTGGATCTGGATAATGTTATAGAATTCTTTTCTTTCTCTTTCTCTTCCTTTTTTTTTCTCTTTTAATGCTTAGTTGGTAAGTATGACGCCGGATTTCAGAGCTGTTGCTTCATTGCACATAACTAACTCATCACTCTCTTTAACCTGTAGCATGAGCAGAAATTGCATAATGAAATTCGAAATTCCGTTTTCTGTGCTCATCTGTTAATACCCTTCAATCTCTGCTGTTCGTGTCTCATGTCTCACGCCTGTTATCTTTTATCTTTTCTCCTTCCCCTTCCTCACTTCTTTCCACTCCTCCTTCCTCATCACTTCTTCATTCTCAACAAAGAAAGAAATGCTGTGATATTTCTTCTCCTTCCAAAACCTCCACTAGAAAGCATTGGCCACATCAAGGTAAAGGGCAAAGGCTTGAAACGGAAGGTCTTTCACGCTAGCTGTGAATGGTATGCTGTGCAAAACAACGACGGTTATTTTCTGTTCTCTAACTTGCACCACTTGAAATGCTTTAATTCCTTGTAAAATTAGAACAAGATAGAATTTCAGAAAATGAGAGTGCATGTTTCCCTGCCTGCCTTTTTCTATAAGGCACAGTGAGTCAGGCATTATCATGCTTTTCCAGGTTGTTTGGCAATGAAGTACCTAGTTCATGAACAGAATTACTGTCACCAGCTGGGGACAAATAACAGCCCTTTCTCCTCCCTGTCACTTTGATGGGTCATCTTGAAAAAGATAGAAAGTATGGTGCTGTCCCTCTGGAGCAGGGAGGTGATGGACCAGGTGAGGAGGCCAGCCAGGTCACTAAATCACAGGACTTTATGCAGTATGTTTGAAATGTACTCTTCTTACCTGATGACCTTTGATTTTAGAGGAGTCTTTCAAAATAAATCATGCTCACTTTTGAATGGGTTTTGCACCCCTTATACATGAAGTGTATACTGAGGGAGGGAGATCTTCAGTTCTGAGCATGGCATTATTATTGTTTTAAAAAAACTTACCAGTAATGGCATGATGTGGAAGAAATAGCGAGTGATCTCTGGCTTACTGAAGTCAGTAGGGGTTTCCCTATTGACTTCTGCAGGACTAAGCTTCTGTCCATAATTTATATAGGTCAGATGCGACCACAGTGGTGACAGGTAGATGAGTTCAATCAGGCTGTCAGCCTCTCTAAATGGCTAATTGAAATCCAGTTTTGTTTTGTGGATATGAGTTCACAGTTTTCATTTTCTGTACCATGGAAAGGAGAATGTAATTTTGGTTTTGTATTTTCTCCTTTCCTTTGGTATCTTTATGGAAGAAGATTTGGAGATGGGCTGTTTGTGAGGAAGAGCCTTGTCCTCTTGGCAGTGAGGACTCAGGGCCCATTGGAGCATAGCTCCAGGTGCTGGGCTAATGAACTATTTCCTGTTGTCTCAAATTCATCTTGTTCCTTTTACAAAGAAACGTTAACAATTAGTACATCCAGTTAATATGTTCTGTTCAAGCTTCTGCCTTGTGGACCCTGTAGGAATTTGCCTTTTGAAGCACTTACTAAAGTTGGGATGGGAGATGTTTTGCTCTCCCAGTTTGCCCCTGATTCACTCCACCTCTTCAGCTGCATTCCTAGAGCTCCCTTCATGCGCAACAAGCTGTTAACCTTCATGTTCTCATTAAAGACTGGATTCTTCTGGGTTGTGGTTTGAATAACAACTCCCTATCCCTGCGAGGGAACTGGAGGTGTTCTCTCTGTTAGCAAGAGACCACCACCCACTTCAGTGCTGCCTCAATTCCTGAGAGCAAGGGGGTTCTGCAGTCCCATAGCTCAGTGGTGTCTGGCATCCTCTTTTCTCTAGAGGTAGATTTGTGGCTGTTGAGGTACGTGCAGTACCATCACCCACAGCTGGTAAAGGGCTAGGAGATGCTGTGGGAGTGACAGCAGCACTGAAATTCCTCTTTGCCCCCTGTGAATAGATCCTGAGCTGCGAGTGCAGAAGGCAGCACTGACCTATCTGGTTCTTGCTGTCCTCTGCAGGCTTCTGCCCCGAGACTCAGCCGGGAGAAACTCCAGCAGCAGCAACAGCACAGGTGGATGGAACAGACTTAGCCTCTCCAATGTCTCCTCGGACTAGCAAGAGCCGCATGTCCATGAAACTGCGCCGCTCCTCTGGCTCAGCCAACAAGTCCTGAGTGGCGAGATGCCTGCAGCTTTCTAGTGAACAGCGATCGGCCACCCTTCCTTCCCACAGTGACTCACTGCTTCCCATTAGAATAATGCGTGTGCCTGTCTCCTGCATTCCCCTTTTCTGTATGTTTTATTTTCAACAGTGACACTGGAATTTTACTATAAAGTTTCAGCTTTTGGGTTTTTATCAAACTTCAGGCTGCCTTTTTTTCTTTTCTTTTTTTTTTTTCCTTGCAGTGCAGTTTGTCCTCTGCACCTTTTACCTTCCTGGATGATTACAATATCTTAAAAGTAGTTACTTTTAACTCTGGCTGATCCTGAGTCATATATGAAATTGGAAACTGTATTTTGAATACATTATATTTATTGTGCCCCACTGCAATTTTCTCTGTAACAAAGAAGTATGTACAATTTGAAAATGAATGTACAATTTTAAATTGAAGTTGCATTTGTAAAGTCTTTGTCAGATGTCACAATGTTAATGCACAGGATGTGTACAGGTTATTTATGTTAAGAATAAAATAGTTCAACGGCCTTTCAAGCATTGCAGAGTCCAAGCGGAATAACTTGAGCATAGCACCAAATCTTTCTTCACAAAGCAGCGTATTATTTCATAACTCTGCAGGTGATGCCACAATCTGTGCCAGAAAAAAACAAAAAAATCACTGTGCTGAAATTTTACTTATGCCTGGTCCAGCTGGTATCAATAGTAAATGCCATCGAGTTCCACGGGGTTTAAAGCCTTTTATCACCAGGCTGCTGGGTCTAGAGGTAAATTCTTGTTTCTTATATTAAAAAAAAAACACAACAAAACAAAACAACTTTCCTGATAGAAATTCGTGCTCTGATGATGTGTGCTAGGGGAGAAAAGGGAACATCCTCCAGGAGCCTGGCTGAAATGCTGACAAGTCCAACCCTGTGAGTGCAGATTAGTACACACGTTCCACCCTCCCAGAGGTGCTTTCCTGCAGAAGATGAAATGCTCACATTTTGAGTCTGGCAAACAACAAAATGCTGTTAACAAAATGTAGCATGACATCGGTACTAACTGCATGTGTAAATATATCTTATGGGCAACAATAAAAAGATAAATTAATGTATTGTCATTCATGTAGTATCTACAGATTTGTAATGGTTGAAGAGAAGACATGCTATTTAATAAGACAATAAAATTATTCTTACCACCTTTTGGAAACTGGTCATTCACCACAGTGATTAGATTCTTACTCCAGTTGACAACTGATTGAAGAACAGAGTATTACATGTGGAGCAGTTAAGTGTGATACATGGTTTAGTTTTCATTTGTAGTAAAAAGTACACACAAGTTCTTGGGGGCTCCTTCCCAACCCACATACTGTACGCCGTACTGCCAACAAGCTTCTCCCTGGATCTAGTAAATAGAATGCACGCGGCTCCACACGTAATGGAAAGCACAGGACTTTCCCTCCTGCAACAACAGGGCTGGCTGTTCCAGTGCCGATTGTAGGAGCAGTTAGTAATCAGGTTTCTGTGGTCCAGAGCCCTTCATCTTTGACTGCACAAGTGGAGAAAGGAGAGCTATGACTCAACACAGCAACCTTCTCCAGGGGAGAGCTCGTCTAACTGCAGAAACAGGCATTTCTAGCTAAGTCTCCGTTAACTACCAAATGATGGGTAAATGCACAACTTAAAATAACATGCTTTATTTCTGGCATATGAGAAGAGCAAGCTGCTAGTTCAGCCTCCTCCATCAGAAGGCAAATTTGACTGCTTTAGGTTATATTGTATTCATTTGTCCAGGTCCTGGAACTAAACCAGGAAAGTCCATGAAACACATTTCAAATGAAGCACTTAGCACTTGCTTCAGCATCTGGGTTTAAATACACGATTCTTTTGTCGTGTGTAACAAAATATAAAACTACAGCAATGGCTGCTTTAGAGGATGCTAATCAAGAGATTGACATATTTTGCATGCTCATTTCAGAGTGATAGAACAAAGACTATGGCTGGGATCAGTTTGATTCTTCAGAAATCACCAGCTGACCCACTTTGCCCTGCTGAATTCAAGAAAAAGGTGAGCTTTGTTTTAAATCCTTTGTTGAATTTTGCTTGCCCGCCCTTTTGGCCTCACTTGCTATCACATTTAGAAACAGGCACTCCTGCGTGGAAAAATAAATAATAAGTAAATAAATAAATGCCGGCTGAAATGTCAAAGCTGGTAAATCTGACAGTATTTCAAAGCATGTGGCCAGAGCACTGTCAAAGCCAGGGAATACGTGCCTCGGGTTGCTTTGCTAAAGGTAGGTCTCGTTAGAGAGACGGACAGCAGCCCACCACCCACACTTCAGCAGCTCACGGGGAAGAGGGGTCGGAGGTTGCCCAAAAAGGCCAGCTGCAGACAGGGCCCTTCTGCCTGCCACGCCGCAGGGCCTGGTGAGACCCAACTGTGCCTTGTGCCATTGTCAGTGTCGCACTGACAAGCCACCGACAGCGGGTTTTGAAATAGGCAGCTACCGGCGATGTGCATTTGCCTACCACACGGTCGCTAGCTAGAGCACAGGAACACAGAGCAAGCGGGAGATGTGCACTTAGCTATAGAAATTGACGCCTCGTACTTTAATTAAGCAGACAGCACAATTCATTTTCCATACGTTTTGCTAGCTATTGTATGACTTGACATTGACATTGACTTAATATGAACATTTACCTTCTCAACTATCTTAGTACAGAGTACAGCAAACAGAACACCTCACAGTAACTTAAATGCTGAAGCTCAGGGGCTAAGGCTATTAAAACAAGGTCACTAGATTAGGCTCCTTTTCTCACGAAAAATAATTCCTCTCTTTAAATACCATATATACAGCTGAACTTCTATCCGAGGGGTAGCTACGTAAGATGTACTCGCAGTGAGTTGACGCCTGGCTCCCCGCATGGCCGGCCTCCCAGGGCCAGGCTCCCTTGCGTGCTGCCGCCAGCCCTGGTTCGTGCCCACACCGCCAGTCCCCCACCCTGCGGCTGCCCGGCGTCCCACGGACCCCGCTGCGCTCCCACCACCTCTGTGCGGCTCGGCACGGGCGCTGCCGCCCGCCCCGGCAGTGCCGCCTGTCGGATCAGCCTCCTGCCGCGGGGCCGAACTCCGGTACCCGCCAACCGGGGAGGGCAGAGAGGAGCCCTTGGGTGGCCCCTCGGCCGGCGTAGCCGTGACTTTCCATAGGAATTACAGCGTGGACAGGACTCGCTCGGCCCGCCCGGGCTCCCGGAGCAGCCCCATTCCTAGCAGCCCGGACGGACGGGCACCTGGAGCAGCAGGACCTGCCTGCTCTCCGGCGGGTGGCACTTGCTCGCGTGTCGCGCCAGCCCGGGCGCGCTGAAGAAGGTGGCGGGGCAGTGCTTGCAGGGGAAGCCCTGTCGCTCACCGCCCACCGCGCCGCCCTCGGGGGGCCCTGCCGGCGGCGGCGGCAGCAGCAGCTCCTCCCGGACGGCGTGCCATAGCCGGTGCTTGTCCCTGATATCCGCCGAAGGGAAGCGGGCGCCGCAGAGGTGGCAAGCGAAGGCGACCTGGCCGCGCCCCGGCGGGCCGTAGGCTGCGGGCCGCGACGGCCCGTGGGTGCCCAGGTGCTTGCGGAGGTAGGCCTGGCGCCGGAACCGCTTCTGGCAGCAGGGGCAGGCGAACACCTCCCCGACGGGGCCGGAAGCGGGGCCGGGGGGAACCTGGGCGCCGCTGGCGCTGTCCGCGCCGCCGCGGTGCTGACGGGGCGGCGGCGGCGGCGGCTGTGGCGAGGGCGCGGCGGGGCCGCGGGACCGTCGCTCGGGGCTGTTCTCCTTGCCCGGCGGGGCGGCGGCGGCGGAGGGGCCGTCGGAGCTGGGGCCGGGCCGCGGCTTGTGCCAGCGGCGGTGCGAGGCCAGGTTGGCGGGACAGCTGAAGATCTTGTGGCACTCGGGGCAGCGGTACTCGACGCGCACGATGCGGGAGCAGCGGTGCTGGGCCAGCGCCAGCGGGTCCGCGTACTGCTCCTTGCACAGCTGGCAGATGAACTCGCCCAGCGGCGTGCGCCCCGTCGGCGGCCCCGGCCTGCCCTCGGGACCCTCCTCCTTGATGCGCAGCCCCAGCACGGGCGAAGTGGTCACCTCGTCGGCGAAGCTCAGCTTTCGCGTGGCCTTGGCCTTCTTGGCCGGCGCCTTGGCCCTAGACGGCCGCTTCATCGCGGGCACCGGCGGCGGCGGCGGGACGGGCAGAGGCGTGCGGGGCTGCAGCAGCAGCTTCTCGGCAGACGGGAAGGAGGCGGCCAGGGGGAAGGACTCGGCGGAGGCGGGGGAGCTGAGGCACCGCTCGAAGAGAGCTGCCCGCGGCCCTGCGGCGCTGCAGGGCCCCGCCGTGCCCCAGGCAGCCGGTCCCTCTGGCGGGGCCAGACCAGGGCTGCCGCCACCGCCGGGGGGCCACGTCGCGGGGTACGCGGCGGCGGTAGCGCCTTCCTCCTCCTCGCCCTCCTCCTGCTCCTCCGCCCCAGGCCTGGCGGCGGGGCTGCCCCCGGCGGTGGGCGGCAGAGGGGGCGGCGGGGCAGGTGGCGGCTCCCGGTCTGGGTCCCGCTCCCGCGGGCGCGCCCGGTAGGAGCCGCCGGGGCGCCGGCTGCGCTTGACGAGGAACCCTCGCGGCATGGCTGGGCGGGGCGGCGGGAGCGCGGCGCCGGCTGCCCGCACCGCATTTATACCCCCGGCGCCCGCTCCCGACCGGGCGTCATCCTTCCTCCGGCGGCGGCGGCCAATGAGGAGTTGGGGACGGCGCTGGCAGCGGGGGGAGGTGGCGGCGGCTACCGGGCCGCGCCGGGGCTTCCCGCTGCCGGGGCGGGCGCGCTCGGGTTGCGGGGCCGGGCGGAGTGTCCCGGGGAGCACAGCCCGCAGCGCGGAGCCGAGGGAAGCGGCGTTCTGCGGGGCTGAGGGAGGTGCGGGGCCGGGAGCCTGGGTCCGGGACGGGAGAGACTGCGAGGGGCCGGGCACGGTTCCGGCAGGAGCATCTGTCGCGGGTGTATGTGCCAAGAGCCTCCATCCGTCGCCGGGGCGGCCCGCCCTGCGCGAGTGTCCTGAGGGGAGCGGGAGCTGGGAGCCCGCCACAGACAGAATTTTCCCACGAGTAGCCAGACAGATGTAGTGTCAAGGCGAGCTCCCGATGCAACAGCAGACTTGCCACTGCCGCTTGCAATGCTAAATCGCCGACCTGGATAACGGTTGTGGTCCCCGGGCAGCTTCACTCATGGGCAGCCTCCGAGCACGGGTGAGGCAAGACTGAGCGACAAAGTGGTGCAACGAACTGCCGAAGTGCCCAACCCTCAGCCCACACCCCGCCCCGATGCCGCTCTTGACCCGTCTGTGGATGCCCTGAGCCCAGTGGCAGCTTGTGCGTTCCTGGAGCAAGGAGGCGGTTGTGTTTGCTAAACCACGAATCGCCTTTTAGAAAGTCTGGGTTTCACTGGGGAGCGAAGTGCACTTGGAGCGGGCTGTCCGCAGCCTCCCCGGGCCCCTTACCAGCATCTCCTGTCCGATCGCTCGTTTACCCGAGCCCGGTTTCGGAGGCGGGACGGTACCGTCCTTCCCGGAGACCTGCTGCTCCTGGTACACACAAGATGGCGTGTGACTGGCAAGGAGCGCGCCAGAGCCTCTCCAGGGCTTGGCACGGCGGGACCGTCGGACTCGCCGTGCTGGGAGCATCCCCTGACCCGAGAAATTGGAAAGCGGCAGGAGAGATAGGGAGAACCAGCATCTCTACATCGAGGGGCTTTCCACAAGTGGCAAGAAAGATTTGAAGCCTCCATGCGAGACCAGAACTAGCCCCACCTGCTCACAACGCTCAACCACTTGTCTGTAAGTGCGCTGATTGTATTCTCTTAGCAAAGACTTAATCATATTTTACATTACTCTCCTCTCCATTTTCCTCCATTTTCATGGTCGCACTGAATTTTAGATTAGATTATAGGCTTTACAGCCTAGAGATCACCCTTTGTTAGTGCAAACCGCTGTAATTGGGACCAATGAGCCACGCTGCAGCGCAGTTAGGTTGCTCCACTAACTGACTGACTGCACGATTTTTGTCTAGTATTTGGGTTGACCTTTGTAATCGGGACTTCCCATCTACATTTCTCACTGAATAATTGGGTCTCTGGTTACAGATCCACTGCTTTATACTGTTCCTTCAAGTGACATGTAAATAGTTCTTCCAGTTTCCCCTTGTAAGCAATGTTGCCATTAATGTTTTGCTTCCTTTTGTCATATTGCAAGAACAGTTTGTGTTAGGAATGTCCAGCTCAGCTTCTGTTGCAGGGGGTGAGGAGCCTGGTGATGCCTTTTCCTACACAGGAGGGAGATGAAGTGCCAGTTGGAAAGCAGGTGCACTGAGTGCATTTACTGGGACCCAGACATTTTCTCTGGTAGAAGCTGTAGGCTGGAGTTGTGCCATGGAGTTTCTTCAGGCCTCGAGGGTCATGATCTGATATGGCCCAGAGGTCATGGGGAGACTGGGGGTAGCTTAGGGTCTCCCCTCCCGGAGTTGCAGGGGTGGAATCACTGCTCCGCTGCCCCTGCTGCTGCACGCCTCAGCTCTTCCCTGTAACTTAGTGAGAGCCTGAACCCACCCCCACCCACCCCCCCATGCTCCTCAGTGCCCTCACAGTGCAGCCTGCTTGCAGCCTCCTCCATCTGCCTCCAGTTTATTACCAAGTTCTGAGGTGGGACCCCAAACCACAGAACCCCTCACCCCATCATTGGTCTTGCTGCAGCACATGCCTGCACCCACGCATCTTCAACGAAAGCACCAACTAAATTGCTTTAAGATACGAGTTGTTGCAGCCATCTTGTGACTTGCTTGTCTCAATAAACACACCATTTTCCCCTGGCTGCCCCTGCTCCAGTGCTGGCTCCCAGCCCCTCAAAGAGTCATTGTTGCATGATTACAGATTATTTCTCCTCCCTCCCCGCATCCATAAGTGAGTTTAACCCTGTGGCTGGCATTACACCTGGCTCTCACAGCTTTCCAAACTGTTACATGGGTTTGTCTTCTTGCCCTCAGCTTTCACTCCTTCCAGATATTTGTAATTAGAAAATTTAGATAATTTATAAGGATATTGAACAATTTGTGTGCTCACACACACAAATTCTGTGGAAATCTGCTGGGTTTTTTTCCACTGACATTACATTCTATTAGTCCCATCATGTAGCTGTGAGCGGAGCACTTCACCTGCCTTAACATCATACAAAAGGGGAACCTTATTTAAGGTCAAGGCTTTCTTCAGCAAGGAACTGAACGATATAACTGCTCCTGACCTTACACTACATTCTCTACAGTCTGATAAAAACAGGTTGGACTTGATCAAATGTACTGGGTGCTTCCCTATGAGAGTCACCCTTAGGTGACCTTAGATTAACCAAAGGGTTAATACCACAGTAAATAGGTAATGAAACTTTGAGCGAAAAATGTAGTAGCTGAGGGGAGCTGGCAGGTGAGAACAAGAGGAAGCAGTTCCTCCTCTTACATCCTTTGCCTCCTCAGACCATTCTCTCCTTTCTAGTTGGGGCTGAGTGCTGGTGTGTTAGAACAGAAACAAGAGTGGTACGGCATTGCTTTGCCTCTCTTTTAGCAGAAGCTTTCCATTTTGTATGAAGGGACTTTTACCTTTGTACATAACTTTGCTGCTAAAATAAGCCTATGACACCCATTTAATCCTTGCTGAGATTCAGCAGTCAGGTTCAGTGATGGCTAGGTCAACCTCTTGAGGACCTTCCAAAGTGACGATGGTAGACTTCAGGTTCCTCTAGATACTTTCCCCTGTTGGATCAGAGAGCTTCTGATGCCTTCTTTTAGGGACATGGCTTAGCGGTGGACTTGGCAGTGCTTCGTTAATGCTTAGACTCGATCTTAAAGGTCTTTTCCAACCTAAACAGTTCTATGATTCTGGAGGATTCTCCATCTAATTGACTGCAGTGTTCTGGAATATGGCACCAGCAGCTCAACACCCAGGTCCTTCTGCATCCCGGTACCCACACACCACCTAGGGACCAGCATCTCCAGCTGCAAGGAAGGAATCCCACTGCTCCAGCCATGCGGGTCTTGAGGTTAGCACTGGCTCCTTTCCAGACACTTGGGAGCCTGCACGGGTGCTGGAGAGGAGGTGCGACACATTCCCCAAATGAAACATAGTCAAGCAAGTGGGCAGCTGCATTTGATGTTTCTGAGCACTCTTGGGGCATAAACAGCAGAGGAATGTATGACAGCAGTCCTGGCTGGGAGGGAGAAGGTCTCGGGTGAGGTCTTGTTCCCAGAGAAAATCCTAAAAACTCTTCTGGGGGCTTGAGGGGGCAGAAAGAAGAAGAGGAATGCCTTTGGCCACTTAATAAAAGAAAAAAGCAACCACAGCTTTAAAAAATAAGAGTTAAAAATAAAGTAGAAAAGAGCTATAAGCAAAGGATTAAAGAACATTTCTCTCCTTCATGTTTCCCCTCCCCGCCACACAAAAAATTGTTGTGGTCAGGTTTTTTATATTTCAGAATTTCAAATAAAGTTGACTTTTAAATCTTTCCCCAACATCTGGTTTGTAATTAAAGGAGCAGTAAACGGGAGGGAGACAGAAGCCGCCTCAGAAGCCTGTCCTTGATACATGACTCTCCAGCAATATAGCTAGATGAACGATACCACCCCCAGGCTCCAGCATTTACACAAACAAAATCCAGGCTGGTTTTGGTGGCAGCACAACCAGTTTCATCTTCCCCCTAGAAGGAGGCTGCCAATTATCTTGCTGTGGTTGGGGATTCGATGCTGGTGACAGACATTGAAGGCAATATCTGCATTATGAGGATATGAATAGTCTAATGTAGCTGACCTTGCTGGTACCTTAATTGTGTTTTGTTTTACCTGAGGACAATCTGCCTCAAGGGAAAAATGATGCTAACAGCTGCTGTGCTTTCTTCATTGCTCAAATATTAACAAAAAGCTGTCTGTAATATAAGGTAGGAAACACTGTTCTGTGAAAGTACTCAGGCTAGAGGGATTTGAAGGGGTGTTAAGACACTATGAAAACGTTCAACCTTATTTTTTCATAAATGAAGGGGTGCTGTTGATGTCACCACACAGCCTTCACTAAGCCGATATTTTGAGGACACTGATGCTGTGGCTCCCGTCCTTGCTCTATGAGCGAGCAGCAACATAATGCCCAAGAGTGCTCCCACATATTGGTTCTTCCCCATCTCCATCTGTATTAGCGTACTGTGGGGGCACCGGGTCCTCTCCAGGGAGCAACCGGACATTCCCAAACTCATACAAGTCACCCGAGAGCTTCAATGGGACCATTATAACTTTTGTTATTTCATTATGGATTCCAGCTGCGTTTCAGCTTGTACCCCACAGGCTGAAGCCATTTGCCATGACAAATTTTCCTGTAATGGAGTTATTTATTGATCTTGCCGTGTCATAAATAGGAAGCTTTGGCTTCCTTGGGCATGAGATACTCAGCAGTCTGTTTCCTGCAAGCATCATTATATATTGTAATTCACTGAAAAAGATACTCCTTGTACAGAAAGGTCATGGTTATTAATTATATGAATAGCAGTAGTGGCTTTCAGCGAAGCAGAGTCCCAGCTGCGCTGCTTCCAGATGTGCTTGCAGATAGGTGGACAGTTCTGCACGCACAGACAGCAACAACTGACAAGACATGACAAGACAGCAGTAGGATGGGAGAAATGTAGCTCCTGAGTGATGGCAGTGCCGCGTGCTGGGCTGGGAAGCTCTGTGCCTGCCTTCAGCAAGCCTGTGGTTTTCTATATTTCCCCAAAAGGCTCAATCTGGGAGGCTTTTGGAGAGCGGAGAACAGGAACAGGTGAATCACAGCCACAGGTACTTCATTTTGGCCACACTTTGTTCTGCTCTTGTGCTGGTGCAGGGAGATGAGCCCTCAGGAAAATATTTACCTTTTTCTTCCCTTCTTTTTCTTTCCCCACCCGAATCTTTTCATGCCCCTGTGACAAGGCCAGCTTCCTCCACAAAATTCCTCTGGCTTGGAGGGGCAACAGACAATTCCCCAGAGCTGTTGTCCTAGAGTTTTCTCATATCCCCACTCCATGATACCCTGTCTACTTCTGTTTTCTTCAGGTTCCCTCCCCTGCCAGAGCTGCAAGCCCCTTTCAGAAGGATGTTATTGTAGCTTTGCTTGCCTATGCAAAGGAAATACAGGAATTACTGAGGAACAAGGTGCAGGTACATCCTGGACACTGCAAAGCAGATGGCAGTGTAGGAGCCCTCATTGCCAGCAACAGTTGAAAAGGGGCAGATGGAGCATGGGAGACTGCGATAAGGAAAAACAGTGGCAGGGAATGGGAGGAGAGCAAACCAACACAGAAAGCTGGCTAGGAACAACTGGGCAGTGTAGCACCCTAAAGAAATAAGCAGGAGAACTGCATTACAAGGAAATAAAACATATCTGAGCTGGGTGCCTGCATCTCACAAAAGCAACAAGGAGGGTGACTGCTCCCAAAAGGAAAAAGGAAAAGGCAGTTCGACTCCATGCAGGGAATGGGAAGGAGAAAGGCAAAAGAAAGGCAGTACTGAGCTGGAAACCTGCTGCTCTTTTCTGAAAGTGCGCCCTTGGCCTCTCAGGTCAGCCACCCTGCTCCTCCTCAAACGAGACCTGGCAAGTGCCCATTATGAGCAAAGCTTCGGAAGGTGAGAATGCAGCGCTGGCTCTCGGCAGGTGCCTCAGGCTGGAGACTGGCCCATCTTCGGTGGGTCAACCCCGGGGGGCAGTGACAAAGCACTCTGCTGGCTGATGAGGCCAGAAAAGGGGAAATGCAGCAGGACCTCAGGATGATCCGCACTGGAATCTCCTCTTCATCTGCGCTCTCCTGCCTGGAATCAGTGCTTGCTGCAGAGGGCCAGGGCAGTGGTGGCTGGAGGGGGTCTCCAGCAGAGCCCACGGGGCAGAGCAGCCCCAAGCTGAAGTCGGTACCTTTTGCAGACCAAGAAAATCAAGCCTAAATCTCATTGTTTTGGAACACTTTTTCTGGTTAGGACTCTTAGCTCTGTTTACTCTGAAGTCAGACAAAACACAGGGGACTCAAAACCAGCATCAGGCTCTTAAACTCTGCAAACGTAAGTGATCCCTAGCCGTTGCCATACAGGATTCTCCAAATACATCTGTTTTGCTTCTTTCATGACATTTGATTAAACTCTCTCTATCCTGACTATTAATTAAAGTGCTTAGAGGCAAGGCCAAAATTTCACTTCCCCTCCCAAGTTCACCGGCTCCATCCTCCTCCTCCAAATATGTTTTGCTATAAATTATTGGCACTGTTTCTGTTGATAGTCAACATAATCAAACATTTGTAAGCATGCTGTCTCTTCAATCTGTTCAGTTGATGCACTTTACCTGATCTTTCATTAAAGTAATCAAAACACTTGCTGTGCCGCGTCTAATGAATGTTGCATGTATGATTAAGTACTTTCATTCATATTGCAAGTTTGATTTAATGTAATCTGCCTTTCAGACAGCCATTAGCCTAGCTCCTGCGTGAATTCGATTAATTGGCTGAATTCTTCCAGATGTCCATTAAGTATTACAGGAATTTCTATGTAAAAACAGCAGGGACTATCTAGCGGAGAAGCAAACAATGATATGTTATATTGCTGCCATGACTTACAAAAAGCTGGATTCATTTTCATTAATAAAACATCTGTACTCCTGCACAGCTATGCATCAAGATGCATTTATTTTATATGTTTATTTC